TACAAATACATTTTCAAGTCATTGGTTGTTCACAGGTCTTAATATTTTAAAGGGTAACTTCAGTCAGTTTATACAAGTTAAACTTTGTGCATCACACTGCAACTACAATTTCTGTGCAGCTAGTGCAAAGGCTTTTACATTAACCTTTTCTTACTCCCTTTCCTCACACACAATGCTCCATGATTATCCCTGAACGCAAACAGGGTATCTCTGCTTTTCCTTATAAACAGGGGTACATGTAGATACACCTGCTGCCACGTGACTTCAACTCCAACACAGCACCACAGCAGCTCAACATTAGCCAGCAGCATGAGCTCCTGACACTCAAAGTTAACCGTCATGTTCTCTATGCTATGTCAAATGAGTATACTCAAAAGGAGTAATAGTAAGTGGTATTTAATATCAGGTAGAGGCCTGAAAAATAGAGGACATGACCACTTGTGGAGATAATAACTACTTCCAGCAGCTAAGACACACAGCTCAGCTATAGCTCCGTCCAAGGGAAACCCACTTGCCTTCTGTGCATCCATTAGTGATGTAAATTCTTGAATTGCCTAGTTGGCTGTCAAGTCTCCAAGCCTCAAAGAACTGAGAAAGGTGCAATAGAAATCAAGTTACTCATTTTCAAAACAAGTCAGAGCAATGTTTCTATGCATTCAACCCCCTTCCCCACATTTTCTTGCTGTGTTTTTCACCAGGTAAGCAGCGGGCTCAGGAAAGACTCCCACAAACATCACCCAGTGGTCTTCCACCAGTACCGATCCCCTCATATGTCCAGACAATCCTCCATTCCCTGTCATCCTCCTTACAGGTTCAAACACCACAAGGTCCGGGAGTCTGCCACATTTTCAGGATCACACAGGCCATCTTGAAATGCAGCCAGCTGCACCCACCCAAGTTCTAGCTCTGTCTGGAGCCTGCCACAGTGTTCTGTCTACGGCAAGCAGGAGCAATAATGGCTCTCTCATCAGGGAGCCTGCATGTGTCCGCATTGCCATCTAGAGGATTGCTGCCACATTCCAGTCCACTCGGTAGTTACAAACTGCCTAGGGAAGGACAGGGCAAATGGTCTTACATTCTGACAGCAGCAGGGCAAAACTGCACACTAATAGCAGCACGATCTCTTTTTCCAAGACAGTGACAGAAACAGGAAAAAAAGCCTCAAACCAAAGGGTCCCCATAGGCAGGATGAAAGGATAACAGGGTACACATAATGCAGCCTGTGACAAAAGGCAAAACCTTCTACCACAGAGATTTTTTTTTTTATCATTTGCTCTGGCTAATGAGAGAGGCACAGTTTTGCTCCCCTTGATCTAAATCAAATCTATCCTGCTAAGAGTACAGTATCAATGATCACAGAATCAATATTCTTCTACAAAGATTTTCTGTTCCATGCAATGGGAATTCTGGCCTCTCACATTGCTACTCCCCTTCTATTCCAAATTATTAAGAAGTGACACACTAGTATAACTACTTCACTTTAATCTTTGTGTATTTATCTTCTAAACCTTGCTGAATTACTCAGACAACAAGCAGGACAAATAGCCATAGTATCTACTACTACAACAGCCTTTTGAACCTTATGTTATAATGCATACAGGTTTGCATAAAACTAGCAATATTTACATCACAATCTAGTTACTGTGCACAGCAATGAGGACTTCTAGATGCATCTCAAATAATGAAAGGCACAAAGGTAGTGAAGTGTTCAACAGCTACTGTCCATAGCTTCACTTGAGAAAAAAAAACCTGCTGTAATGCCCTCCCCAAAGAGAAGCTTCACAGCACTAAGGAGAACCTTATGCTGGAATGCTGCCTATATGGGCGGGAGGAGGAAGGAAAAACAATATCAGCAAACTACAACTGCTAAATAAGCATCCCTGATTAGCTTCAATTTTAAAACATCTGCAATTTAGCAAATCATCAAATTTCTAAACACATGGATGCCGTGGAGTAAAATACAGTGAAACTATTTTAATTCTTGTCAGGTTTCAACAGATTTGCCTTTATCATGCTGTTTATGATTTCCAAACAACAGAAGAACACAACATAAAGCTATATTTAGTTATCTAAGAGATACTTTTAAAAGCCGTGAAGTGTTAGTAAAAGCAGACTAATTCAGGTGCTTGGAATTTACTGCTAAAATATAAAGCAGTTACATAACTTACAATCAAGGTTAAGTCAGCACACTACCTACTAATAAACATTGGTGAGCCCATGTCACCTCAAGCCCATCAAGAAAGAGATGCAACATATAGATGACACTATGATCGAGGAGTGGACTTGACCATGGACGCTATTGCACTGGTTATCCATGAATGCGAAACATGTGCTGCGATCAAGCAAGCCAAGCGGTTAAAGCCTCTCTGGTATGGAGGCCGATGGCTGATGGCTGCCTGGCAGATTGATTATATCACAATCCCACAAACCCACCAAGGCAAGCGCCATGGGCTCACCATGGTGGAAGCAACCACCAGATGGCTGGAAACATATCCTGTGCCCCATGCCACCACCTGAAACACTATCCTGGGCCTTGAAAAGCAAGTCCTATGGCGACATGGCATCCCAGAAAGAATTGAGTCAGACATCGGGACTAATTTCGAAAACAAACTCATAGACACGTGGGCCAAAGAGCACAGCATAAAGTGGGTATATCACATCCCCTATCATGCACCAGCCTGCGGGAAAATCAAACAACACAATGGACTGTTAAAGACTACACTGAGAGCAATGGGTGCTGGGATGTTCAGACATTGGGATACACATTTAGCAAAAGCCACCTGGTTAGTCAACACTAGGGGATCTGCCAACCAACCTGGCCATGCCCGATCAAAACTCTTATGTACTGTAGAAGGGGATAAAGTCTCTGCAGTGCACGTAAAAAATATGCTGGGGAAGACAGTCTGGGCAAAGGTAAACCCATCTATGGAACTGCTTTTGCTCAAGGACCTGGGTGCACTTGGTGGGTGATGTAGGAGAATGGGAATTCTGATGTGTACTTCAAGGGCATTTGATTTTGGGTGAGAATAGCCAGTGAACCAAATTGTATTATGTCAATTGCTGTATAATACTGTATGCCATCACTTCTATGGTTGCTATATGTCATATCAATAGTATTACAGAATCACCCGGATTAATGAAGAATTAACTTTGATAAAAACTGAGCAAAGTGTAGCAATGATAGAAGCAGAACCGGCTTCAGCATGCAACAATCCAACACCATACACCATCCCTCCTGCCCTAGAAGGCTATTATGACAGACGGATCCCAAAGTCATGGACTAAATTAGCTCCATGGACATTTTAGAGGGATGGCCCTTAGTCTTAGGGAATGATATCTGTGTGTATATATCAAAAGGCAGGAAAAGGGGTGGTGATTAATTGGAAAGTGTAGGACTTGGACATGATGTAGAGGGTATAGAATAAGGGGTGGATACTGTCCTGGTTTTGGCTGGGATAGGATTAATTTTCTTCCTAGAAGCTGGCATAGTGCTATGGTTTGGATTTAGTATAAGACTAATGTTGTTAACACAACAATGTTTTAGTTGTTGCTAAGTAGTGTTTACACTACTCAAAGCCTTTTCAGTTTCCCCTGTTCTGCCAGGTGCACAAGAAGCTGGGAAGGGGGCACAGCCAGGACAGCTGACCCCAGCTGGCCAAAGGCTTATTCCAGACCATATGATGTCATGCTCAGTATATAAATTGGGGAGAGTTGGCCAAGGGGCAGCAATCATCACTTGGGGACAGGCTGGGCATAGCTCAGCAGGTGGGGAACAATTGCACCGTGCATCACTTGTTTTGTATATCCTTTTATCACTATTATTTTTATATTCTCTTCCTCTGCTATCCTATTAAACTGTCTTTATCTCAACCCATGAGTTTTACTTTTTTTGCCCCTCCTCAATTCTCTCCCCCGTCCCAGCCAAGGGCGGGGAGGGTGAGCAAGTGCCTGTATGGTGCTTAGTTGCTGACTAGGGTTAAACCACAACAATTGTCAGAAGCCACAGTGACATCCTTGGAGACTTCTATGCTCAGTGTAACTGCAGCATAAGTAGCTGAAGAACAGGAGATAAGAAATAGGTTCATTTTTACAGATCAATCCATGATTTCACGCTTTCAAAGATAAACTGTGCTGTGCAGACATACTTCTTCAGTTAGAAGCAGTAGGAAATCAACAGAATATAAAAAATACAAGGTTTTTCTAGAAAAACATCTTGCTTGGCAGTTTGGATTCCAGTACTAACTTCAACTGCAGTTGATGTAAAAAAAAGTACAGTACAATAATCTGAATAAAGAGGTTTAAACTAAAATGACTAAACTAAAATCATCTTCCCAGTCCCACTCATTGCCACCACAGCAATGCATATAGCGAGTTTTGGACTCCAATATGCCACACAAGTGAAAAATAATACCGGAACATGCAGAAGGTGAAATTACCTGTCCTGTAATTGCACAAAAAAAAAAAAAAAAAACCAAACAAACCAGCTGAAAGCCCTGGGACATACAATAGTCTTAGGGCATCATTTTGCATTATTGTTAAACAGAACAAACAGCTGTTTGTCACCCTCCCCTGTCCATTATCTTGTCTCTGCTGCACTCTCTCATTTTTTCTCTTCCATCATATCTGATACATATTTGACACCTGAGAAGCATATTTAGAAAGATAAACAAGCAGAAAGGTAATCTCACCATTATAATAAATAGTAATATTTTTCTGTGAATTTAGCAATCTTTGCCAACACGTTCCAGAATTAGAGAAACTCCAGCACCTGGGAGGCAAAGGGAAGCTTCCAGTGGCAGCTAAAGTTGGATGAGGTTAGTTGTGCTGTGAAACCACACCCAAATAGTGCTGAAGTCAAGTTGCATTCATGATCTAAAACCACATCTAAACACTGCCATCTTTCAGAAATATAAATTTAATTAAAAACAATTTTTTTTTTTGTGGGCAGGGGTAAAAAGCAGCTATTGGCCAAAAAGTCTTAAAACAAAAATACAACTTACTGATCAGAGTCATAATAATCCATGCACTTCTTTTTCTTATTATAAGCTGCAACTCTGAAGGGTACGATTTCTAGCGCTCGGAGACCTGGAGCCATCGTCAACACTTTGGCACCATGAGTTGGTTCATACAGGTCTTTCCCAGTGTCAGGGTGTGGCATCCCTGCTGGATCTCGCCCTACAATGTAGAAGTTAGCTCCTGCAACCATTCGTGATCTACAGTGCCACTGAACCTAGAACAGAGACAGAGGAAAACTGTTAACAGAAGAAAACAGTCAAAATATGACGCCTAAAGTGTGTATGCGTTGTATAATTACCACTTTTCCCCTAATCAGACATGATTTTTACTATGGAGCCCAACAAAACAAAGAATCAGTTATGTGATCACCACCAAACTTACAGCCAAGACATACTATTCCCCTGTTTCGTTTGCACATTAGGATACTTTAAAAGTTACTTTAGCATAGTGTTTGGAACAACATAATCAGGGCAAGAAAGACAGACCTCATCCATTCCTTAGCTCAGTTCTTCCTAATGTCACTCTACATCCCTCTCCTTTTATACAAAAAGATTAATGCAAAAGCAACTACTTTGGGAAGCTTAGCATGATCTAAACATATATCGCTCTATTTTAATCACAGTAATTTCTCTAAAAAGACACCCTGACCGACAGCTGCGAAACATCTCATGGGAAGAAAGACAAGATAGGTTACTAAAACACAGTGTTCACGACTGATCTAATCAACCTATCTACACATTTTAAAATAAAAATTACCCATGCTCAGCATTTTCACCTCATGCATGTGGCTAGGATGTTGCCCAAGGTCTTTAACACTTAGTCTGTGTCAATATTAAGACCCAAATGACATATAAACTAGGTACATACTGCACATGATTGCTTGGAATAGGCTTTCAGAGCACCAAGACTGCCTATTTATATCACAAGCTTCCAAGATGAAAACTGATAAAGCAACTCTAGCTTTGGTAAATATTTAGGAACTTTTCCCCAATCATTTTGACATAATTTGATTCTAGCACATCTACATAAGCTGGGGAGGAACAAATGTCAAAATCAGAAACTTCAGCTTTACTGAATTTTTGCTTGGATGCACCGTCTTCCACCTAATATTTGAAGTATTGTAAATATTGACAAACAGCCTTCCCACATTACTTCGTTGCACATTTCAAAATGAGTGGTTTCATAACTAACAACTTGATTTTTACTTTTTTCCTTATAGCTCAGTTACTACTGAAGGTAAAGAAAAAAAGAAGATACTTCAAAGGAAATTCTGCATACAGTATATTCAATCATCTGTATCCTATAACCAAAGAAATGCTTTCAAGTTATTTAGAAATGCATCTCTGACTAAATACGGTGAAAGGATTTTTTTTTCCAAAACCTGTATTTTGCAGTATTTTCTAGATCTTAGACTGTTAGATATGTTACACTTATGACAGTTTTTAGACTTATTATGTTATAGGACTGTTGGTGAATTTTCTTAATTCTTTTTTATATGTAAGATTTTCAATAGAAAATTTAACAGTACAGTACAGGAAAAGTAAAATAACTATTACATTACTTTAGGTAACAAAGACACTTCAGGAGATGTCAATACATTCTCGTACTGGGAAGTATTCCCCTAAAAGAATTGTCATACCATCTTTATAGCTTAGTACCTGCCAAAGAATACTCAGAGAAGAGTTTAAAAAAACAGCAAGCATATAACAGTAGTTTCTTATATGTGCAGCCTTACCGTCACACAAAACTAAAGGGCCTACCCAGTAACTACATAGTGTAAAATAGCTTCAAAAGTTGAACAGTAATAAACATCTGTCAAAACATCTGTCAAGCACTAAAGGGAAGAAAAAAAGAAGGGGAAACAGGAGGGAAAAAACCCCACAAGTCACAGGACAAAAGTTGCTGCCACTACCTTGTAGTAAATGGACAATGTGATGGATGAATTTTCCTTCTACTACAAAAATAAGGTTGCATCTGCCTACTGCAAACCTTTACGTAAAACAAAGTCACAGTGTTTCATATTTTAGTCACTGTGCATGCTGTTCTATGCTAATACCCTTTAGGCAAGAAGCTCAAAAGTGATTTCCCTAAGTAGTAACTAGCTGTTAGTTCAACATTAGTTCTCAAACTAATCCTTATAGAAACCATTCACGGAGGGAGTTTTGCAGTCAATATGGAAAGAGTTCTGTAAATCAGTAGTCAGATAATGAAATTAGGAACCAGTTATGAGGGTACCATTTGTATCAGTTTTCATCTTGACCACAACCCGACATTACACATGACTGGTTCCACTGCTATTCAAGCACATAGGGTGCTATGGAAGCAACTGGATGCTGATAGCTATGCTAAGAATTTTGATATATTTATGTTACAAGTACAGAGTGGGCGATACACATGAAATTCCAACATACCTCCGTAGCTAGCAGCATATTTTCCAAAACTATCCTAGCATAGTTAAGAAATTTAAGTTTCATGTTGTCCTTTGGGTAACAGCAATTAAGAACTCCCTTTTGTAAGAACTTAATTTTGAATAAATGAATCTATTCCACTAAGACAATTTAGAACAATGTAAACCACAAGTCTGAGACTTAAAACTAGCAGCTCTTGTCCCATTTCTATACATCCATACTACTTCAGAACATACTTACTTTACTGAACAGGTGAATTTATTGCATTTTGATACAGAATTTTCCCTTATAGAACTGTTTCTTTTCTTCCAAGGTAATTATCAGGAATGTTGAAAATACAAAAATGCTAAATTGATGCCTATGAAACATGTCTATTAAAATATTTACATACTGGAAGGCCACATCAATCCTGTAGATAACCATACTAACCGCTGCTTGTTGTTCTGTAAAGCACTTGTGGTACAGAAATGAACCTGGTACCAATGTCTTTCAAACAACCTATGGAAAATGATTAAAGGAAGAGTCTCTTTTATTATTTGGCTACAAATATTATTGCCAGGCTGTACTCTGAGGTCACTGGAAATGTCATATAGGTTAGGAGAAAACTCTTGTTCCGTTCACTGTGGATTTTGTTCCTCCCTATATGCTCATGAATACAAGACTGAAGTAGAAGATTTCTGTTAATTCTCCAAAACATCTATGGCAACAGTACAATATTTCCTACAGTAACACATTTACATGCCTCAACTAGTTCTGAACTACATTTCTTTCTCTGGACTGAAAGGCAGTGCAAGCCCTGTTTGATCAGTAAACTGGCCAACAGAATATAAGCGACATTTGTCTAATTTAATTCCACTGGTGAGGTCTCCTACCTATCAAAAAGTTACCACAGAGTTAACCTCCTGAGCCTTCAACTTCCTGTGACTTGTGGAGGGGGAAGAGGAAGGAAAAAGAAAGAAAATTAAAAAAAATAAAAAAATAAGTAAAATAAAATTAAAAAAAAATGTAATGAGGTGGAGAACCGACATCCCTTAAAGGAATTGCCCTCAAATGAGAGCATTTTCTTCTCTCTGCTGCTTCCCACAGAACTCTAGGGAGTCCAACCAAAGACCTGGCTTCTAAATAAAGTGTTGCCCAAGAACTATTTCATACAAAAGCCTTGAAACGATTCTCTCTGAATTGTTTGCCAAAAAATAAACAAAGCCTTTTTTTTTTTTTCCTGATTTGTGTATAGCCCTCCAACATATAAACTTTTTGCTTGATAGTCATGAAACTTAAGTATCTTAACATTAAGGACAACTATTTGGTATGTTAACAGATATTCTAATTCCTTCTGAAAAAGACTGTAAAAAAGAAGGATCCTTCATTATCACACCCTTAGAAATGTAAAGAAAGGAGCACATAAACCCAATATTGTCTCCACCATTTCCAGCAAAATCCTCCAATACAGAAGTTTCTTCACAGAAGAATGGTTTTGTTGATGACAGAGGGAACCTTTACAATCTGGTTTCCCACGGAAAATTAGTCTCCTCTCTCCATTAAAAAAACCACAACGCACAAACATCAGGCAAAGCTCAAAATACTTAGTGCACTATCAAAGGGGTTTTGTTTTCTTTTAAACTCTTGAAGTATTTACCTCAGTTGGTCCAGCATACATCATGGGGGAAGGAAATATAGCCACCACTGTTGTTTCTGGATTCAAAATACCCTCCTCCAGTACTGCAGCATGTTGCTTCATGCGCCACATGAGAGGAACATCATCCTCCTTCGTCCAGCCCCCAAGCGGATGCAAGAGTAAAACTGGGCGCCGGTAGCCACGTTCCAAAAGCTGCTTATGAGTATCCTGCATTAAAAGAGCATGCCCGTTGTGCACTGGGTTGCGTAACTGGAATGCAAAGACAGCATCTATGAAGAAAAACCAGACAAAAGATATAAGAAAAGCAAGTTATTTTAATAGGAGTTGTAGAACCATAGAAAAATCTTCAAACAGTACAATCCTTCCTCTGAACTCTATTAAGCGAGTTTAACAGCAGCAGTCACAGGTAATTAAAGTATTATGAATTATTATAAAATAAGCAAAACTAATAAAACCCAACCATACTAAAAGAAAACATAAATCAGCTTCCTTCATTTTTGAAATTTTCACAGAATTACTTAAGTTTCTCCAATATCTATAACCTTATCTTTTGATTTTTCACTTGCATAGGCATTTAATATAAAGTTGAGTTCTAAGCGGAAATCAGACTGTGCTACCTATCTTAAAGGCTCTACGTGTCATCAGGAGAACAAATGGACATGTTTGCAACAAAACAAATGAAAGAGGATTTAATGTGCCTTAATAAGTTTCCTTCAGCTAAACAGCTTAGTAGAGTTTACGCACAGTAAGAACAAAGTAAGGCTAATTGCTATTCCAAAGTATTACAAACCCTTTGACACAACCAGGATTTGTCCCTTCTGCAAATTAAGATGAACTACAGTACCCTACAAGACAGCAAAATCACCATAACTGAGAGGTTTCCCAGTAAGGAACCAATGAAATCTAGAGAACAGGGTTTTTCAGGTACCAAATATATTTATCTAGGTGCTAACTAAAATAAAGACTGGTATCTCAAACCTGCAGATCCCGAAAATAGTGACTACACTGAAAAAAGACAGGAGCTCAGGACCAATCTCGGTTTGTGTTCTTGATGTTAATCTCTTCCCTCACAATTAGACATGCTTAGCAGCTGCCTGCCAGTCACTGCCACAATGAAGGCAGTATGTTTGACTGTTCTCTGCTTTAGGACATTACTCAGGCTCTTATTTATCTGCCTAACACAATTGCTTTAGTAATAAAAAGTGTTTTGTTTCTTCTGCAATAGAAAGCTAGCAGTTAGCTCACAATTTTTCACTGTGATACATTCCACTTTGCACCAGTCTCCTTGCATTACTGTCATAAGCTTTGCTCCCCAGAAACAGCATGGAACAGACTTAAAAATAGAACAGCATGAAAGCTCAGCACTCAACCATACCTCTGTGGTTTTAGCCCAAACTGATAATTTTTAAATAACTTTCTACCACATTTTACCATTATCTTTTCTTGCATTAGTAAAAGGTGTAATGTGCATGGCAAGATAAAATTCAATACCTTAGGCATTTCCAGCTTCTCCTGTGTATTGAGGCAATGCAATGCCTGAGATTTTAAAAATTAATACCAGTAAAAGGCAAAGAATGCCACCTAAGAGGCATTCAAAATCTTCATCCTTGAAACAATGCTAGCCCCTGTGGTATTGAGGCAGCAGGCATTTGGATAAAACTTTGCAGGAAGAAACAGAACAAGAAAAATTTACTCACCAGCATTCATTTCCTTGAATTTCTGCCTTAGTTCAGCTGGAGTGAGACGATATTGATCAAGTCCATCATTCCAATAAATACGATCAAGAACCTGTAGATCTCCACCCACGAGCCAGTTCCCTTGCTCCATAACCATCTAAGAAAAGAAAGGAAAAATCTTGTTAGAATTGGTTTGTCAGCTTATCCTGAGCATCTAGAGCATTGCAATGGGGCACATCTTTACCAAAGGAAGAGTTCTGGGTTAATTTTATTTGACAGTCTCAAGTCAAGCATCAATGTTTCAAAAAAATAAAAATTAAAAAAAAAAAAATATACCATGGTGCAGGAGAGATGCACAAATCTTCAGTTGGCATATGCCTTTCTTTCAAAGTAAAGGATATTTTTACTATATAGAAATGCAAGTAGACAGTATTCTTAACCAACATTATTACATGACAAAAAGACATAGTGGCCAGAAAGCCTAACACATTAAGTACAATGAAGTTGCACACTTTATAGTTGTTGGCCAAAGCAAATGCAGTTCCAGTATCACCCTGCAGTTTACAAGATTCTGGACAGCAATAAAGTAACAAATAAAACAGTTCTGATTAACTACTCACCCACTTTAATCTATTAATAAAAACAGAATCTTTGAAGTAAGATAGCTTTTGGATTTGTTTCACGGTAGCACTTTACCAAGGCAACATATACTGTACACTTGCTAGAATCCTTTTGATATCTTCAAATATCACCTCACCCTTTATCAAAAAATAATTATGGCAAGCTGCTTAACATACTCAAGCACTGGCCATAGAAATCACCCAGAAATTGTTAATTTCTGAGAATGCTTTTGCTTTTGAAAATGGAACCAGCAAAAACTTCCAAGTTCCATACACATTTCCAATAATTTTTTAGCCTTATGCAATTTAAAGATGACAACAAATGTTGATATAACATGAGGCATTACATACCAAACCCACAAGCCAAGATGTTAAAATTAAGTGTAGATTTTTCAATTTATTTTTACTTTGAGATAGAGGACCTGCTGGTATTAAATGATGCTACAGTCACCACCCTCTTCCCAAGGAAAATGCCAGGCTTTGACATCTTACCAAGGCGGGGGGAAGATGTGATAAAGATATGAAGATGAGAAAACTCTGCACTACGGTAACTCTCAGGCACCCAAAGATTTCCAATTAATTTAGAAGGGCCACCAGATTCATGTGCTGTCATGATACTATTATACACACATTCATACGCTGTCAAGATACTACTATACACCCCACTACAGACATAAGAACATAGTCCCTCATCTTCTACATTAGTTTCAGCCATGGCATTCTGTAATTGCTAATGCATTCTAACAAGTCATTAGAATCTTGTCTGCATGAGATTTTCTAAGAATTTCTTAAATTTTTTGTTAAGTTTTCAATAAAGGGGCAATCTTATGTTCATCAGCACAGAACACAAAGGCTTTGAAAATCTTCCAGAATACTCTTACTTGTATCTAGCAGGAGATGTCCTTCTCCAGATATACTCCTGAATACAACTTCAATCAGTAAAAGGATGTCATCACACATTAATAAAAAAATTGATTACACATTAATAAAGTAGTCAAAAAATTCAGTTTTCATGTATGTATACCTATTAGTCGTACCAATACTTTTAGAACAAATCAAAGGCTTTCCCTTTTTAAGAGTAAGCTCATAATTTGAGATTTGTTTTATTTCTTTTTATCTGATTTTAAGTCACAGTTGTAAACAAAAAGATACTATGGAGACAAATGGGCAAAACCCCCCCATATTTTGGCTCTGCAGAACTAAGATGCAACATTTACATCAGCTTGCAAAACCAAACATGGCATTGCAATGAGTACGTTACAATTAGAATTCAGTATGACATATATATACGGTCAACATAGTAGAACATACTGAACACAATGGATGGGAAATAACTCCCCAGAGAGTTAAACGATGAACTCTCCAGGAACAGGGCCTATTCAAAAGCATCTAAACCAGGCAGTTCTCACGTGCTCCACATGCAGGCAGAATAGAAGTTTTCTTGCCTTCACAATGCACATACCTGCTGATTAAGGAGCTTTGATGATCCATCTGGCTACACAGAGGGATATTTTGTAGATACACTAGAAGGCAAAGTTCCCTTTTCTGTAGCACAGATTCTACAGCACATTCTAAATTCATTTCATGTGTACATATTGACATTAGATTTTCACACTAAGTGCAGACTATTCAACAGCTGCATAGAACAAAAAAAAAAGTCACCTTTATTTCTGCTCAAACGTTTTAATTAGTTCTCAAAGTAGTTTTGCTGTTGAAATACACCAGTCACAGATATCAGCTTCACTTAATTTGCAGCTTCACAAATAGTACAGCTAATAAGACTAGATTTTCAACTTTTAAACACACACCTTGATATAGGGATGTTCCTTGCATGTCGTTCCCCATTGTCTAGCACAGCGTTCCTCTTTCCTGTGCTCGTAGAATTCGGGATTGCGAAGAATAGCCACACGGCGACCCTCATACACCAATGCAATTGCTGTACACCCATCCAGTCTTTCTTTGTCTTCTTGAGTAGCTGTTAGCACTATAGGCACTGACAGATTAATAACTCCCCCTGCAGAGTGAAGAAAAAAAAAAAAGCCCTTATCCTTAGTAACGGTCATCAATAATATTATGAAAATCTACCCTCCTAACAGTTACAGTCCAGGCTGTATGTTTATCACACAATAGGTAGTTCAAGTACTTATTTTAACAGGAGTTAAAAGCAACTTTTAGAACGAACTCTTGCATAAGATACGTGTGCTATAAAAATGTATAAACACTGAGGTTTGAGAAAGAGCAAGGACAGTACTGAAAATAGCTAGTGTTTATAGCTGCATGCAAGTATTTAGAATGTGAGGATACTACTTTTTTGGGACCTCAAATGCATATCTTGTTCAAGAAGCTACATAGTAAGCAGAAATACACAACTGGCATTTTTAAACACACAGTCTAAAATATTAGGTAAGATTGCTAATGGAGTAGATAACGAACAAAAAAGAAATAGCATTCTTGGTAGCCATACTTTCAGTCCATAAGAAAAGTTCAGTGCAATAGAAGCAGCCAAATCTACCCAAGAAGTTAGCATATATAATTCAACTATTTCAAAAGGTGACTTTTGTAGTTTACTTAAACCTATATTCAGATTCAAGCATATATATTTCAGAAAAACTGTTGAGTCAGGCAGACATTTTGCATAGTTTGTTCAGCTGAAAGCTTACCAGCTACTTTACTTCTAAAACTAAACCAATGAATCTGAACTTTAAGGTTGTGTGTGGTCCTCATTTTTAAGCATTTACTTCACTGCTAGATGCTTGAAGTCTTGGGTTTTTTTGACCCCAAGAGTGAGATTTGAGAAACCCAGTGGAGTAAATACTGTAAGTCTCATACAAAGGCTTAAATTCTAATGAGAATATACTTGCTGAAAGAGTGCAAAACTTTTGGGTGGTCTCCAGGAGAAAAGTCATGGGCCCCTTGAAGTTAATGGCAGTTTTGCTATTGGGTTTAATGGGGCCAAGACTCTAAATAAGGCTGACTTCCCTTTTATTTGAGCAATATATTTTTATAACCTTCTCTCAATTTTACCTTAAGTGTGGTAGGAAGTTAAAAATTATGAAGCTGGATGAAAAGTTTAAGAGAAAAATAGGTCCCTCCTTCCTTCATATTGCAAAATGAAAAGCCTGCTATGCATCTTCTCCTAAGTTCAGTCCTAGTGCTCAGACTTATTTTCAAAGAAACTAGATCACTGAGCTTGGCAACAGTCACAGAGAAGGTGATGTGCCACCCCTAACTTGATAATTAAAAAAATCATTTTGCTTTGCAAACAAGTAAATAAATATCTCAAACTGGAAAGAGATCTCAAACCTGTTGATTATTAAAATTTTGTCAGTGACCAATAATAAATACATCTATGACATCTTTCTTCAGCCACTGTACAAATGAGAAACTGAGGCAAGGTAGTGGAATGAGCTTGTTAAGTCACAGATGAGCAGTGTCAACTTGAGACTATTTCAGATAACTTAAGTTTTAAAGTGAGAATATCAACACAACTGCACTGATCTCCACAACGTAGAAGTCAGTCAGTATGAACATTGCATTTAGAGCCCAAAGGATGAGATGCATTGCAGGTATTAAACCATTTCCCTCTCTTCAAAATCAAAACGCTGGAAAATGACTGCTGCTGTGAGACTCCAGAACTAACATACCAAGCAGGGAGGAAAATTTCAGGATTTTGTTTTGACTTAACCATTGCCACTGGTTCAAGTAGCAAAGCAGCTTTAAGACAATGACATTTTTAAAAAAACGTTTTCATACATAAGAGTTGCAGTAGATATCTAAGAACAGGAAATATGGCAGCATCTACAGGAACATGACTGTTTTATTCAAGCTTAAGACTGAAAATTGTTTCCATCAATAAGTTACTCGTTATTTTTCATTACTCGTATTTTTGCAGCATATATGAGGTACTAAAAACAATTGCAAGAGAAGTTTAAAAACTTATAGTTATTTAAAAACTTGCCATGTCTGAAGCACTCGCCTGTACGAGGTCTTAAAAAGCCTTATAAAAAAAAAAATCTGATTTACAGAAGACTACAAGGCAGAATAAGAAGCTACAAGATATTTTAGCAGTTGAATGCATAGCATGCCATCTGCAGAGTATGTTTCACCCGGATGGAAACACAGAAGGCAAATGGAATGAAAATAAAACTAGCAGTCCAAAATGATACTGCAGACTTTAGATCATCCAAAATAATGAGATGGCATTATGTTGCCTAGGATAGTATCTGAGAGACTTATAGAAAAGGGAACTAGAAAAGATAAGAGGGACAACTGATGTCTGGATCATAGAATTGAAAGATGAGTGACTTCTTTTTTCTGCTATTGGGTCTCCAGTAAGAGAAGAATAATGCAGAAGGAAATAGGGAGACAGGAATTTTTACTATCCCGTTCTGATATAGAGAGTGCAAAAAACCCTATAAGGCTGAAGTAAAACAGAGCCTTCAAAAAGGAATAAATAAAAAATGACAGAGGATCACAGTCAAATTCCAAAAACTGAGGATGTTATTACTTGCTGACTACCTTAACTAATGCTTGCTCTTAGCCAATTGGGAATGCAACATAAAATATATTAGTTTAAATCTCAGGATAATTACTAAGTCATAGTAATTCAATTACATGTGACAGTTGTCCATACTCAAGCCACCTCCTCAAATTCTGATTTCATACTTGCAATAGCTCCAGCACTCGTCAGTTTGTTGTCCTTTCCTTCATTACTATTATGGAACCAATCTTTCGGCATACAAAGCTGAACAGCAATTAAATTGCAATTCCGAATTCTAAAATCGATTTCTTCAAAACAAATTACAAATGTGGATTTCAGGTTTAAATTTTTTTCAGAAATGAAAACATTTGAAAAATACAATTTGTAAAGGCAAAAAGACAAGACATTCAAACTCTAACACGATGGTAGGTATAAAAGGAATAAAGACATCAAGTTTAAAACTGATGATTGTAATATCCTATTCTCTTACCCCAGGTTGTGCATAAGCCTGATAATTCATTACCACACTACCACTGAGAAGCAAAGCATCAACAATATTTTAGAAGCAGGATTAGTTTGCTCAATTTTATAAATGGTAAGTTTTACCCTACCATCAAGGAGACAGTCAAAATGAAGGCACTGTAGGTATTCTCTCTCTCTCATAAAGCCATTCAAGGGTGTTGCCCAACCTTCTGCTAGCACTTGCACCCATTGCATATCCACCTTGGAAAGAAATGGAGAAATAGACTTAGAACAGATAAAAGTTGTTGCTTAATGACTGACATCAGGTATTAATCATAATAGATCATGATTTACGCATAAAATGCAGAACAGTATAAATGGAAGATTTCTCAGTATTACAGTTTTTATTCACAAAGAATTCAAAGTTTCTACAAGTAAGAAAAAAAAAGAACAACTTGTTCCTCACTGTTCAGATTTTTGGCTATTTTCCAGTCCTTGTACTAGATCAAATTTCTATGTGTTAAAAAAACAAACCAACAAACAAAAAATCCCGCAACAACAAACTTTATTTGTAAGTGTTTGATAAAGCTCAACAGAATTAGAGTCCTACTTGCATTTATTTTTTTTAACAAAGCAAGTTAACCAAGAAGTAAAAAAAGAAAACAAGCAAAACACCACATACAATTACCACAAAAATATCAGAATTATGGGGGTGAATATTAAGAGTCCTAACTTTAAAACAGATTAGAAGGAAAAACTTTATTGCAGAAACTAGTGAGACAATCCACAAGTAAAATTGTCTCGGGACTAGTACTTATTTTAGTTTGAGGTATCAGCTTACAGGGAATTTCCTTCCTTAGCATTTAAACTGTCACACTATTACTTAGTGTGTGGCCTCTATTATTTCTGCATGTGCATTACTAAGACTTGGTCAAGCCTTTGCAAAGGACAGGCTTTGCTTGTGCAAGTCTCTTTTGCAAAGAGCATGACTAATTTTATTACACTGTTTAATTTATGCTGAGGTAAGTACAACACACATTTTCCTCCCAAGATTATGTTATATACTTGCTCGATATTTAACAAACCACTGGTTGGAGGTGGAGGGGGAAAGGATTTGTTTTTCTAGATAGGGAGCAATTTAGAATGGGACACTACAGAAATTTAATAATGGTGACTTTAAATATTTATTCCTCAAAGCAATAAATAGTTTTACAGACACATATGTGAAAGGAATCTAGTAAGATGCAGTGAAAGGAAGTGTTAAAATTTATTAGTAGTAGAAGGCTAGGCAAATTTTAAAACTATTTAATTTAGTGCTTAGTATGTCATCTCAATCCTTTAAGTCAAATTACTCACTGCAGATGCTCAACTCTGAGCATAGTCAGCTCATAAGTCTAATGCTTAGCTTTAAGTTCTAGCAATACTGTGAAAAAGCCAATGAAAACACACATGCATTGTATCTGTGTTTAGGCCTAGTTCTTTAGAAAAGATGAGGAAGGACAGAAACGTGACCAGAATTAGCTCTGTCTAATTTATCTGAGTTGGAAAATAATGCATTTAATGAAAATAAGAACAGAGTTGATCAAGTTGATCCATGCTTTTTGACATTTTCTCTGCTGGAAGCCAGAAAAGTGGCATGAATATGTTCTAACCAGAAAAAAACCAATAAAATAGATCTGATCATCTCTCTGTAGGCTTAAGTTTGCAACTGTTTGAGCCTGATATACTAGGTTACTATTGTTCAGCTGAAAGTTACCAGCAAGGAGAATCAAGCAGCAGTAACTGATTTCCTCATATTTTTCAGGTCATTAAAATTCAAAATAAAATGGCTTGTGTAAGTAAAATTTAAAACTAAGTTAGCAATTCCTCTAGAAACAACTACTTACACAAGACATGCCAGGCATTGTTTAGTCCATGGATATGGGGGGTAGGAGGTGGCATGAGAGCAAGTAATTATAAAATTAATCTCCAGGCTTCTGATAAACTAAGCAAGACTATACCAGACATTATTCACGAAATTATGAAGATTCAATTGTTATCAATTGAAAGTAAATGATCAAAGAAAACACAGATGCTGTGATTTCTCTCAAGAAAAGAGGGAAAAAGTATATTGAGATACATTCTGTAACCAGTACAGGTATTTCAACTATATCTACTTCCGATTAGCAACAGATTAGACTGTCAACTTCAGCAATGAGACAACTGAACACACAATACCTTATTTATTTCCAAGGTTAACAGAGACTCAGCATCAGTTTTGGCTAACTGCAGCTTGTTTTCTGGCACATAAAGCTCCTTCACCTCATAAGAGGCATCCACTGGTACAATGTCCTGTATAAAAGGAATAAACAGAACTTAGTGTGTGCTCAGAATGCTTCTCGAACACTGAACACATGGTCAAGAAGGAAAATTCTAATTTCGCACTACTCTCTAGCAAGAGTTTATTCATTAAGCAATTTTTACTCATTTAAAAACCCGCACTGTTTGAAGATTATGATATATTGCTTGCCAAGCTGCTGGCTTGAGTAACTAAAAGTGAAACATTCTGACAAGAGATTTTTTTTCTAAACCTGAAGTACCCTATATAACATTTAGTTAATATTTAACTATTGAATTAAGTGCAGTTTTTATGACTTATTAATGCCTACAACCTACAATATCTACAGCAGAAAGGAAGACTATGCTTTTATACTTGCTAAAGAAGTAAAGTTTTAGAGACTGAGTATTTATAAATTTAAGTCATTCACTATACAACATACTTTAGAAGTGGCAATATGGAGGTTAAAAAAAAAAATCTTTGTCAACTGAAAGTGATTAAAATGGAAGTACAAATTAAATGTATTACAGCTAATGACATAACACCAGTATCCTAATCTATATACTAACACTCCAAATATCTAAACGTGAGGCCATCTGCGCATAGATATATGCAATGAAATGAAATCTCATTTTATAACCAGAATACCACAGAATATCAGCTTTTTAGTAAAAAAAAAAAAAATAAAAATTCATTTTTCTCCATGCATTTCAAACAAGACATTCTCACTCCACGATGCTCAAGACTCAAGGCCTTAAATATCTCACAAGATATGAATATAAGGATAAAAGCATAATTTTTTTAAAAAAAGGGAGAAAGGAGAAGGCCATCATGAGCCTCCTCTGTCAAAGGATGGTGTAAAATGTCAAAACCAAGTCAAATGTTCCAGTGATATTCAGTAGCAAAAAAAAAAAAAAAAAAAAGCAGCTGACAGTTCTTTTTAAAACAGTTTCAGTTTTGGAAACTTTTATAAAGTAATGCTTTAATTCCTGAGGAAAAAACTCACCCTTACAGCTAAGTATATACAGACCCATAACAAGAATAAATTAATTATCTTTATTTTTCCAGTATATGCAGCCCAGAGTAAACAGGTATGCCTGTAGGAAACACAAAGTTTGCCCAAGCATTTTAAAGCATTTATCAGACATTAGGCACTACCTCCATGGAAAGTAAAACAAAGGGATTGGGATGATGGAAGCAAGTGATAAAGATAAAATTACTGCAGGAGTAAAAATATGTGGTGAGTCTCACTGGCTGTTACTTAGTTTACACCTGCAAAGACAAATACAAGGAAAACAAATTAAACTAGTATTTAGAAATTGTGTTTTATAAGGAAAATCTCAGCCCATTACATATCACACATCATTTGGGAAGCTGATTGTATTAGACAGTAAGTTAGGCAAAACCTGCCTTCTATTATCTCTGCCTGAGCAGCAGCATTGCAGCCTAGGAGAGATGCAGCAGGGTCCTGCCACAGCAATAAGCCCAGAATCAAAGGTATTGCCTGCTGCAAAGAACAGCAGACCTTACAACCAAAGTATAATGACTGAGTACCCATTATGCTGCTTCACAGAAGATTCCCCTCTGGGCCCTACTTCATTACCATGCTAGAATGTCCTAATTTTACAAACCATCAAAAGCTTAAGATAAATGTGCCTATTAAAAAAGTCTCTTCAAATATTATCCTGTTTTTAGTGTCCCACTAATGGGAAAACAATGGAGAAAACAAAGGTTTTACAATGCAGTTTCTGTCAACAACCTACCTCATTATAAGGATATAAATAGCTTGAAGACAGTTCTAGCAACACTGAGACATTTAGAGAATTTGTAGGATTAGTAAACCTAGATTCCCTTACAGACATAAAAATGGTATTTAAAAAACCATCTTGGATTAAAAAAAACCAAAACAACAAACCAAATAAAACAGCAGCAAAAGCAACGCATAGGTTAAACTGTATGAATTTTAGGAAAATGTCAGGCTAGCAAGCCATCTAGTGACCACTTTAAGGTAGTAACTTCACTCAAAGGTTCATTCTACCAAAAGACAACTTACACAATACTCCTCAACATTTATTATTTCTCAATGCATTCATATAAATAACAAAAACATAAAATAGATGCTTTATGGGAATGTGCCTCATCAGACTGTGGTGGTAGGTTCTTTGCTGATGCTATCCAACAACCTCAACAGTCTGTAAGGAAAGGGCCTTCAGGCATTCATAAGTGACATCCAACTTAAATTACTGAACGACTAGTCTTATAACTTCATGTTAAATGAGGTGTGAGGCCACTGAACTATTTATATAAGGAAAAAACAAACAGAAGTATTTGCTTGACTATAATCACTGAAGTTTTGGTAGCTACAGCTTGCGGGGAATTTGTCAGTACTTTAAGTACAGGGAAAATTGAAAAGTGGAATGACAGCCATGATCTTAACAGAGAGAGGTACGATTTTAGAGACTGAGGGCCTCCTCTTTGACTGTCAGTTGTATTCTATCATGCTTTAAATTCACTTGAGCTGTAGAAACACTCTTCCTCTTATGCCAAAGAAGAATTTCTGACCCCAGCCATTTACTGCTGTTTCTCTCAAGTGTGTAAAGAGGCCCTTTATACACTAGTTTTGGTCAAAATAAGTTATGTTTCACTTACACAGTACATCTATAACAATCTATAATTTTGACTGAAAGCATCTAGGAAACACTCATCCAAACCTATCAGTCAGCAGATCTAGCTGGATGATTGTTGCCTAATCAGAGCCTCTGCAATTAACATAGAATAGCTCTGAACCAAAACTTTGTCTGTGCCTTTTCCCAGAATACAGAAGTTAAAAACAAAAGAAAGCAAAGAAATAAGAAAAACTACACCATCACAGTATTTTAATGATTACACAATTCAGTGTAACTGAAGCTTCTTTTTTAATAACAATTCCAAAATTCCAAAATAACTACTAGCCCTATCACAGAATCACAGAGAGGCCTCTGGAGGCCTAGAGTCCAGCCTCCTGCTCAAAATAGTCCCAGTACAGCAGGCTGCTCAGAAACTTGGCCAATCTAGTTTTGAATATTTCCAAGGATGGAGCATCCGCAAACTCTCAGGGCAACTTGTTCTAATATTTGACCATCTTTATCGTGAAAGGTTTTCTTCCCCTATGCCTAGTTTGAATTTCCCGTGTTTCAACTCATGTCTGTTGCCCCTCATTCTACCCTTGTGCGCCTCTGAGAAAAGTCTTCATGAAGTCTTCTCTATATCCTCCCATTCGAGTGCTAGAAACAGCAACAAGACCTCCTTTAGCCTCTTCTCCAGGCTTAAAAAGTCCAGGTTCCCTCAGCCTCTCCTTGTACAGCAATGTGCTCCAGCCCCTGACCACCTTGGTGGCTTTCCAGTCAACTCACTCTAGTACATCAATGCCTGTCTGCTACTGGGTGAGGGAGAAGGACACAAACCTGGACACGGTATCCACATAAGGCCTCACAGGTGCAACATAAAACAGCAGAATTGCTTCTCTCAACCTGCTGGTTATGCTCTTTTTATTACAGTACAGTATGCAGTTGGCCGCCTTTGCTGCATGGGCGCATGTTTTCATAAGGCTGACAAATTTTTTATAATGCTGAACAATTTATTTCAGTTCTCTGGTATCCTCACATCTTAGGAAGAGTGATACTTTGTTTACTTATCAAGAAGGTGAGTTATTCCACACAATGTCAGCATATATCAAAGTTAAAAGGTACATATGCTGCAAGTCAATGTCATAGTAGCCTATGTCATACAAATGTTTACTTGCAGCATTGTAAACCATTTATAAAATCCCCATGGTCTGCACTTTGTCTTATGAATCCCAGTTTGTCCCATCCAACCACCTTTTGCTGTAGGTATTTGAACACTGCATCCAAACAAATAACAATTGTATTCATACAAATTTTCTGTTAAAATGATTTTGAAAACAGGAGGAGGCAGGAAGAAAGTTTCATGTAAAATAATGATTCTGTACCCAGCTAGCAGCTGGGTATAATTAATTGCATCAAATATATTCCAGAGTGCCTAATTTACAGTTAAATAATGAAAAAGTGGGCTGAAGACCTGTAATGCTGGCTCTACATGAATGTTACAGATATTACAAATACTAAGCTTACATGTTTGCAAGTTTCTCAATAAAAAAAAAAAATACTGAAATATGCTTTGGAGCCTGCTGCAATTCATGTTGATGACCAAGGTGATCACACAGAATATTCTTTATTGTAAAATTTTTGATAAGTGAATAATGAGGAACTAGATGAGATTGAGAACTTTGCTGCAGAGAGAATCATTGTGCTGTTACAGTGATGGCTGCAGCATAATTTGAGGTAAAAACAAGAAACAAAAACAAACCCCAGATGTACAGAACAGCAGAATCCATTTATGCATATTTGCCAGCAATCACCAGCCTCAAGCTTCACATCTTAAACAAAAAAAAAAAAAAAAAAAAAAAAAGACTGACCTTATAAACCACAATAACAAAGAACAACCCCTAACTTCTACTCTGCTCCAAATTCTCACCGCTCCAAAAAACAGAATTTGAATACAGTTGTGGGGAACTGTGTGAATATAGCCAGAAAATCAGTACAATAAGATACCATGAGGACCACCTTCCCAAATACAGGTATAATGCTAAGCTTAGATAAGAACTTGGCTCTAACTGTTGAGGGATGGGTGAGAGATGGAAGAAGGGCCAGAAAGTTTATACATACACTCACAGCAGATTGATCTAAATAGTAGAAGTACATAATCAGATTCCAGTTTAGGGGTGGTATTAGCAGAGCTGCCATAAGCTGATGTCCCTAAGAATGGGACATTTATATAAAGGTACCTAAAAGTTTAAAGTTATCTGCTGGAAATGCAACCCTTTCCTTGTACACTTTTGCACTTCCTTAACATTCCAGAGCTATAACTTCTTCAGAAAATATTTTCATGGCTAATTATTGAACTTATTCCATAGTAAGGAAATACAAACTTTGTGCAATGGGCTAGATCAGCTGTATTTGTTGACAGGAGAAAGAAGAACAAAACCAATGAAATCTTTACAGCCAAACACCTGCACTAGGCTTGTCTGACTCCAGTGGAAAATACCAGCAGACTGAAAGCCAAATTTATCAAGCTTAAAAGCCACATAAGCATTTCTGACTGGGAAAAAAAGTGTGCAAGCAGTGTACCTTGCATTCTAGGTCCCTAAAAAGAACTTGAAGCATCTGTTGCATTTACATGCAAAGAAACCAAACCAGGTGACCCTCAAAACCGAGTTACACCACACAAGTTCTTTCCAGATTCAACAGCTGCTTATTACTCCTATTTCTGTATGGTTACCTCCCTTTTTCTTCCATAAAGGATTGCATAATTTTTTGGAAAACACCTGATAAATTTGTTTCAGGGTTCTTTTCAAATATTATAAAAAATTCTAAGAACCAAATAATTCCACCACCTATGAAACAATATTTCAAATTCTTGTTTAACAAACATATATGTGTGTATATATCTCTACTTCTCTCTCAACGCATATTTATAATTTCCAGCCATCTAGTAAAAAACAGTCCTTGAAATTCAAGGATGAGCAATACTTTGAGCAGAATTCTTCCCAAAGTTTTTCACAGCTATTGAAACAAAAAAAAACCCACCCCAAATTATTTTTACTGTTACTGGCCTACGGTCTTTTTCTTTACTAATCACAATGGATTATTAAAGAACACCACAGACACGGCTTGTTCCACCTAAAGGAAACCTACAGAAATTATATTCTCAAGATACCACTGTATTAATATGGCCTGAGAACAAGACATGCCTGTTCAGCCATGCCTTGGTTTCATTGTCCCTCACTGAAGTAAGCAACCGCTGAGGTATCTTGGCATTCATGATACTGTTGTCTACAAAGAAAAAAAAAAACCAAACAAAAAACAAACCACCAGTGGTAAAATGTGCCCTAAGCAAAGGACAGGGCAAAGCTGACTGGGCCAGGAGCCAGCAATCAGCACTGTGTACCAAGTGTACTAATGCAAGACTTTGGGGATCACTACCTTGGTACACATGACATTGGTTTCTACAATTATGAAATGTATTGAATTGTTCTGAGCAGGAGGTGCAGGGCCTCCCACAGTCAGGAACTGCCACCTCCCATAGGTAGGACTCCTACACAGAGCTTCCCTTCATTCTTCCAAAAAATATTCAGAATGGCATTAGAATAAAAATCTAGAATTCTGCTGTGGTTTTCTGCCTTGTCTTATCCCCTGAGCAACCTTGAGCAAGCAGTAATCTATTAACAGAGTTTTCTTGAAAATTAAGATACAAGAGACTAAATCTCTCCAGAGCTGTACTGGCACAGAGGGTTAAAAGTAACTCCCTGCTGGCTATATGCTGACGTCTTTTGCCTGTACCAAGTCCAACACTTCATGGAGCTTTACTCAAGCTACGGCCTACACCCTAAATTTCCAGAACATCCACCTCACAAAAATACATGAACAATTGCCTGCTATATTATCTAAATTAAAATAATTGTCTGAAATGTCATCCCACTGCCCACTGACTATAGATAAAAATGTAAGGAGACAAATTTCTTCTACATGAAGATTAGCAAATTCTGGGGGTATGGTTGAGAGAGGATGAAGCCATCTCATGGCTGCCTTCACTTTTAGCGAGTTTAGAGTTTGGATTTTTTGTCTGTCTGTTTTGTTTTGTGTGGGTTATTTGTTGGGGTTTTTTTGTTTGTTTCTTTATGGGTTTTTTTGGTTTTGTGTTTGGGTTTTTTTAGGTTGGTTAATGAGCTGAATCCAACTTTCAGACAACAGGAGGAAGCCCAGCAGCTTCAAAAGCAATGGTGTAGATTGCAAGCATGAATGAGGAGAGAGAGCTACCTTCTCAGAAGCTACAAACGATTAACTCAACTCAGCCATGTCAAGAAGATCAGCTTCCTGAACTGGTCGTTACACAATTGCAGGACCACTTTTAGTAGTGCAAGAAAAACAGCGGAAACAAGGAAAGCCAGGCACAACCACAGCAGCCCCTATTTAAGCCAGCTGAAAGTGCATTCCTGTCTCTTCACATCTGTAGTATATATTAATTTGTATACTACAAAGACAAAAAATATTTCAGACTCTTGCAAATGCTAGCAAACAATTTTAAAGTCATCATTCATCATTGATTCTGTAACAAATGAGGCAGCCTTCTCTCCCTTCCAGTTATCAGTTATGATAATTAATAAAAATTAATTTTCCACTTGTCCAAATCTTATTTCACTTAGAGATCAATGTTGTTGTAATGTTTAGGTTTAAAGAGGAAACATACAATAGGACAAGTTTAAAAGCTAGAATTTAAAAATGTGTAAGCCCTTAACTCTTAAAACTGTCTCTGCTTTTCCAAGCACATACATTCAGATTGCAGCCACAAATGCTTTGAAAAAAGTTACTAAGATATATCTGCATTTCTGCTCACCCTCTCTTGAAGAAGTTCCACAACTTGTTGTATACAATCATTAACATCACAGGAATCAGTTTTCAGCACAAGCTCTGGGGATTCTGGTTTCTCATACTCTGAGTCAATCCCAGTAAAACCTACAGAACATAAGACAAAAATCTTAAATGACTTTTTCCAAAAGATGACTCCATTTTAACATTGTTCACAGACAGTTTTCTAGATATAAACCAACACAGCAGGCAAGAGCACTGAGTTTTAACTTCCTTAATACAGGATTTCTTAGGGAAATCAACAGGTTTTTTTCTTTATCAAACCATCTGCTAATCCTACTACATGACTGCATCAAACTTCAGCATTCTGCAGCACATACATAGCACATTTTTGTTGGTGAAGTTATTTCATTTATACCATGAATAAAGGAGTAGTGGCAGAAAAACTGTGCACATCAAGCCAGTTAGTCATCCATCAGCTGTCCTGATGGGGGTTTTTTTCCCCACACAAACCCTGATGTTAAACAACCAGTATATATATATAATTTTACACTCATGCCACTGAGAAGTACTCTGAAGATTAAGGAATTACAATGCCTATTACATTAGTTTAGATAACACACCCATCTTAAGATAGCTGTTAATGTAAGGTAGATGTGTGTGTTCATTGTAGTTATTATAACTGGTGTCACAGACTGCACAAGCTACCAGTGACACCTGTTCTGGCCTACTTAGCTAGCAATCTGCTTTGAAACAGAGAAGATTCTGAATAATCATGCATAAACAAAAAGGAAAAAAATCAAGCCCAAAGGCAAAGCATGTAAGCACTACAAGTCAGATCTGCAGCAAAAGTATCAGCTGGGCTAGAGCAACTGAACATCTGCATCCTCTACAATTGCAAATGCAAACATTGAAACTTGAGTTTTTCACTTCAGACTTAAATACTCTCAAAATGAGTAGCTTAATTCTCCATCTAAGAAAAAGATCAATTGCTGCAGTACCCCATGTGATAAAGAAGGGCCGATATTTGTTTCAAAAACTGTAGACTTAAAGTATCTGATTACTGGAGGAGTGGGAATAGGGAGCAAAGAAAGTGTCCTGTTACCATTGCCAGAGAAAAGAAAGATAACAGTTGCTGACATTCCTTGTGAACAGGCAAGTTCATTTAATTTTAATTCTTCATATATCAGATAGGGCAAAAGATACAGCTACTGCTAAAGCCACTTGTAGCTTAGTCAGACACTGTATACCTCACTACCACTTCTAAAGTAACACAATTCCATTGTGGGGCTTGTAAAATTAACAAAAGTTTAAGGACAGCACGACTTTAAGGACACCACAAGCACTTTTACAGCACAAATAAGGATTCTGCACAGAACTGTATCTTTGTATTGCGCTATCTCAAGCCATCTTGCTTTGATTCTGAGGAAATTTAGTTCAGCCTTATTTATTCCTGGTCTTCACATGATATATTCGGTAGTACTAGAAGTATCAAGCAACCAGTCACATGGAATGTCTTAGATTTCTTGAATTTTATATAACTTTTGATTAATGGCGAGTTCACAATTACAGCATCTGCAAACTTAGTCCCTGAAAGTGTTTACTTTAAAAGCTGCTTATAGGTAGAAAACGCTGTTGTCAACCTCTGCAAACTATAATGTAACACAGAGCAAAGAAGCAATTGAAACAATACTTGCAATGAGTGATCACATGTTGAAGCTTTTTTTTATTGCAGGCTGTACTTAAGTCTTGATCTGACGCTGGGGATAGGAAATAATTTTCATGGGTACTAGCATAGAACCCTAATTTCAAAAGAAAAGTCAGTCTCTTCAGAAGAGTTCTTAATGGTCTTTACAAGACAGATGGTGATCATGCTTTACTTTCTGGAAGAAGTTAGTAACTCTTATTAATGCAACTCTTTATAGACTTTAGAGAGAATCACGTTCTTTTTTAACCAGTCAATGGATACATAAAGATAGACTGATCCTCAATCATAAGACCTTGCAATAAAAACCATGTAATCTGCTCAAGGTTTTTCAATGTGAGGATAGCCAGTTTTGCACTTTTACTGTCCTGTGCGTTTAACTAGTCAGTTGTATGAGCTAGAACTCAATCCCAGTTTCTGCTCGGTCCTGTCCCCAGTCTATGCTGCTTTTAAGAGTGGTACACTCAGACTTGAGCACATCCACTTACGTGGAGTCAAATTACACCAATGTTTCACTTATGTAGAAAGGATATGACTACATCTAGGTTCACCTTTAATTTCTCCAGCCCTGGCTTTCTTATAGAGTCCTTTAACATCTCTCTGCTCACAGACATGCAATGGAGCATCCACAAATACTTCAAAAAAAGGCAAACTTGCCCCTTCATGAATTCGTCTGGCATTATTACGATCCTGAAAGAAAACAGAAAAAAAACCCTAAAATATTGTACCCACATATTGCTATTGTCTTTCTGCTTTCAAAGTTCATTTTAAAGAAGCTGATAGTAAAATGTAAACAAGATTTCAAATTTTGAAAAATAAACATGACTTGGTCAACTGATGCCCTGCAAGCTACATCAGTTTGGCTACAGCTCATCACATGGTAAAAGCTGACATGAAAATCTGAGCTATCTTACATTAGCCTCATTTATTTAAAAAAAAAAAAAACAAAAACAAAAAAAAAACCCCACCCCCCCCAAACCCA